TAAAATACCATTTCATAAAACTTTTCAGTAAACTAAAAAGAGGAGGGAGGTGTTGAATTAAAGATTTAAATTTAGAATCAATGCTTTAATTTATCTTCTCTCATGAAATCCTCTATAATTGAAATTGAAAATAATAAAAGTTTGAAACTAAATATTACTGATATGTTTTATGGTCCCATTGGTAATTTAACACTTTTAAATAATAAAAACATAATTTTGAAGGGACCTTTTCAAATTAAGTAAGATCTTTTAATTTGTAATGATGAAACCTCAACATTATGTATTAGACAATATTATTTAAAAGAAAAAAAAGAATATTAAGTTTTTAAGTAATTCTTTGGGAAAATTAAATTTTTGAAGTAATTAATCGAAACTAATAGAATAATTATTACGTAACCTGGATAAAGTAGTAATATTACCTGTACGTTTCATAACTTTCTGACTATCTTAATATTGAATTAATTGAATGTTTTGAAAAATTGGATCATGCTTGTAAAGTGATGTCAAATCTTATTGTAGATATAAAAATTGATTAAATTAATATGGCAGATACAATGAGAGTTGGTAATTTTATAAAACTGAAAGGTAAAAATGCTGATGCTTTTATTATTATTGATGATATCAATTATAATATATCAATCTTACCCTTTATTATAATAGATATTCTATATATTGAAAATTCTAATGATTAATACCAAATCCTATAGAAAAATAAGACAGATTCAAATGATTTAGAATTAACTATATATTCAATCAATTTAAATCAAAATCATAAGACATACTCATTCGCAATCACTAAAAATACCTATGCAGAATTGATTAAAAGTGGGAAATTAAATTAATCTACATTTACAATGAAGTTAGACTCATGTAAATATTCTGGAGATTTAATTATCATTAAGCTTCTCACCATAGATTAATTTTTATCATAATTATTCTAATTAAATTTGAATATATAAAGGAATCAAATTTAATTCGAATTGAAAAACTAGTTTAGAAATTTAATAAGCCAAAAAAGTACACCTTAAAATGAAAATTTTAACTTTTAATATATAGATGATACTCTTTTGATTATAAAATCAATTTAGAGTTTTTGCTCTTAATTTTATGAAATTCAAGAAGACAGAAAATTTAATGATTTTTTCATAAATAGATATTTTCAACTTAAATAAAAAGAATAAATACTACTCATTTCATTTTCATTGATAATATTTAGGCTTAATTAGGATCAATTGGATATGAATTATAATTATAAAGTTACGATGAAATTGAATTAAATTTTGAATTTGTTCGCTTAAAATGAGATATCAAATGAAAAAGTATATTTGTAGATACATATAATTAAATAAAAATAGTAGTTTAGAAATAGTATTTTATTGATTTAATCAAATTGCTTTGTTTTCTAACTGATATACACAAAAATATTAAACCTAGACCTAAACCTTGGAGTTAAAAACAAAACATTCATTGATGAATTAAAATCTAATTTATAAGAATTTTAATAGTTAGTATTAATTAATACAAATATATTGAATTATTTTGAAATATTCTCGCTTCATGGTTAAAAATATAATCAATAGTTCTGTTTAAAAATTAATTTCATAAATGCATAGTGTATCTAACAAGCTTATAACTTCCTTATCAAAATAAAATAAATATTAATTGAATAAAATGTATATGTTTTTAGGAAATCACTTAAATTCTGCCATTGGTAAATTTAAAGTATAATGCAGATGCTAACTTAGAAAGATTTCTTAGTGATTTACATATTTAGGCTTACCTGCTTTATTATTCAATATCTTCTATAAAATATTTTCTATATCAATTTATTGATTATTTTCTACGCTAACTATAGAATAGTAAATTAAAATTTAATTCTAATTCACTTTTGAACTTTAATATTTTTACATTCATAAGATGATCTCACAAAAAATGCATTGTTTTTTATTAAGCAATCGAAATTGTTTAAAGATAACTTTTAATCCTGAAAATTATTTATGGGCTGCAATTTATGATGCATCCAAATTCACATTTCAATTAAAATTTATTGGAAAACTTAGAAATCAATAGAGGTGTAGAGCCATAATAAAGTTTTCGTTTATTTCCTTTAATTTTCTTCCAATCCAAATATTTAGGAACACTTTATTTTTATATAATCCTATGACTCTATTAAATCGTAAAGAATAGAAAGTTACTGAGTTTGGAATACCTAAGAATCTTTAAATTTTAAGATTGAATATACTGGGATAAAATCTTTTTACACTTAAATTTTCTTTTGATAAATTAAGAAATCTTTACTATGAGCTATGATAAATTATTGAATACTATTTGATTGATATTATTTAATTTTTCTCTTATTGATGATTTATAATATCTAATTTATAATTTATGTAAAGAGCTCTAAATTTGGTGTCGAAAACTAATCAGCAATGATATTTAATTTTAAATTTTACTTACATTTAACGGTTGATGAT